TAGGATTATAGGCATGAGCCAATGCACCTGGCCATGTATTTTTCTTTTTATTATAATCATTTACCTAGTTATATAATGCATCTTGCTTTTGTTTCTGGCCACATATTCCACTGAGTAGATGAAATATTTTAACCATTTCCTGAGACATTTAGCAATCTTTTTCTTTTATATTATAATAAGTTTTAATCTAATTTACATGTAGCTTTTTCATATTTTATATCTTATAAAAATGGAATTGTGGAGTGTGTACTCATTTGTGTCTGGTTCCATTTGCTCAATGTTATGTATGTGAGATCCATTCATATTGTTGAGTATTATAGATTGTCCATTCTCTCTGCTTTATACTATTCCATTGTGTAGAAATACCATAATTTATCCATTCTACTGCTAATGATATTTGCGTTAATTCTAGTTTGGGGCTATTACAAATAGTGTGGCTGTGAGCATAGTTATAGGTGCCTTTTGATGGACATAGGTACTCATTTTAAGTTGGTATATACCTATAAGTAGAATTACGTTGTCATACAATACGAATACATTCAGTTTTAGTAGATACTGTCAAGCCGTTTTCTAAAGTGACTTTGCCAGTTTATAACCCACAAATAGCATATGCAGGTTCCTATTGCTCTGCATCATTGTTAACACTTGGGATTTTCTTTTCTTCTTTTTTTTTTTTTCATTTTAACCATTTCAATGTATGGTGTTGCATTGTGTGGCCATTTTAATTTGCATCGTCTTCAGGCTAATGAAGTTATGCACCTTTCCATGTGTTTACTGACCATTTTGTGAAGTGCCTATTAAGTCTTTGTCCTGTGTTTCTATTGGTAACCCCTTTAGAAGATTATGTAGACCAATAAACATTTTATTGAGTCAGCAGTATGAACATGACTGTGAACAATTTTTGTTTTAAGTGTTTGATGGGAGGCCATCAAATTGCCTGAAAATGGAGTGTTCTTTAAGGAATACACTATCACCTCAGGAGTCATAGACCTTAGTACAGTGGTTCTTAATCATTGGTATGCTTCAGAATTACTAGTGGAGCAACACCAGAAATACTGATGAAGAGCGTCTGGGCTGGGCCCTGCGTCTGTTTTCTTCAGAAGGTCTGCAGATGATCATAGTGCACATCCTAAGTTAGTTAAACCACTACCTCAGAGTGAAACTTCATTGGCATTGTTATCAGGGAGAGTGACAGGTAAATAACAATCTCAAAAGAAAAAAACTCTTAGTTTCTATGTTTAGCTTAGTTTTAAGTTTTGTTAAAATTTTGTTTTTTTAATTAAAAACAAACATTTTTGGCTATTAAGATCAATGCTGTAGATATTTACCATCATATCTGAAAATTTTAAATTTACAGTTTAAAACTTGTTATTATGGAAAATCCAAATAAATACAAAAGCAGAGGGACTAGTATAATGAAGCCATTGTATCCATTACCTAGTTACCACAATTATCAACACATGACCAGTCTTGTCTATACTCACCCCTGGATTATTTTAAATAAAGCTGAGACATATCATTTTATCTATGTTCAGTATATATCTCTAAAAGATACAGTATTTTTTTAAAGGAGATTTTATCATTATTACACCCTCAAAATGAACAATGATTCCTTAATTTCATCAAATGGCCAATGTGGTTTTTTATTTTGGTTTTGTTTGTTTGTTTTTTTGTTTTTTTACTATTTTTTATTTGAAGCAGGATCCAAATGCGGTTCATACATTTGTGATTGATGTGTTTTTTAAGCCCCTCTCTTAAAGTAGGGTTTCCTTCCTTCTTTTTTCTTGCCCTTTTGTTCTTGAAGACGAAACCGGGTGGGTTTCTGTACAATTGGTCCTAGAGTTTCTCACAGTCTGGATTTTGCATTTCTGTGTATCACTCATATTAATGTATGTAGTTGTAGATTGTTTGTATTTCCATAAAGAGAAATTTACTCTCATGAATCAGTTGGTTGGTTATCTACCAGATATTATGTTGATGTCTTTTCAGTCATCTGAAGATTATTCTACATTAGATTGCTCAGAAGGTGCTTATGGGTATGTTATTCCCATATTCACAAGAGTATGTGGTTATGAAGGTTAGTTTGGTTGTATATAAAATCCATGACTTACATTTCCTTTCTTTGCATACCTTAAATATGTTAGTTACTCTGTTGTCTTCTGACCAAAAGCATTGCTGTCTAAAAGTCTGATGACAATCTGATTTTCTTTCCCTGTGACTTGGTCTTTTTAAAAAACTTGGGTGATCAAATGATTTTTTTTCCTTTTCATTAAAGGATCAGTTTTTCTAGATACCCTTTAAATATGTAGTTCCAAGCTGTCTTTTATTTTAGAGAGTTCTTTTGAATTATTTTTGGTATTTGTTCTGTATTATTACTTTAGTCTTCCTCTTCAGGACCCACCATTTAGATATGTCTTTACTGCTCTTGTGTGTCACTTTTTAAACATTTACTTTATCAATTCTTCTTTTTTTTTTTAAATAAGTATTCTTGAGCTCCATATGCCATAAAATTTACCCTTTTAATGTGTACAAGTCAGTGGTTCTTAATGTATTCACAGAGGTATGCTCTATCACCAGTATCTAACTATAGAACATTTTCAAATTTCAGAAAGAAACCTTTTACCCATTAACAGTCCTTCCTCATTTCCCTTTCCACAGTTCCTGGAAACCACTAATCAGTTTACTTTCTACCTCTATGGATTGGCCTGTTATGGACAGTTCATAGACATTTCATGGAATCATTCAACGTGTATACTGGCTTCTTTCACTTGGCAAAATGTTTTCAAGCATCATCATTTCATATCAATACTTCATGTATCAATTTGTCTTCCTTTTTGTAGCTGAATATTATCCAATTGTATAATAATTGTAATTGTTAATGGTAATTGTTCATTTACCAGTTGATGAACATTTGAGTTGTTTCTACTTTTTGACTATTACGAATAATGCTGCTACGAACACTCATATGTTTTTATTTCTCTCGGGTATTTACCTAGAAATGGAATTGTTGGGTCATATGATAACTAATTAGCATTTTGAGGAACTGCTAGAGTGTTTTTCAAAGTGGCAGCACCATTTTACATTCCCACCAGTAAGGTATGAGGGTTCTGATTTCTCATATTCTCACCAACATTTGTTATTTTCTGTCTCCTTAATTCTAGCCATCCTAGTGATATGAAGTGATATCTCATTGTGATTTTGATTTGCCTTCCTCTCATGACTAATGATCCTGAGTATCTTTTCTTGTACTTAATTGGCTATTGTAAGAGTTCTGGGTCTAAGTCACTTATGAGATATATGGTTTGTAAATATTTTTTCCCAGTATAAGTTGTCTTTTCACTTTCTTGATGGTATGGTTTGAAGCACAAAATTATTTAATTTTGACATAGTCCAGTTTATCTACTTTTTCTTTTGTCCTTTGGCTTCATATCTAAGAAACTATTTGTCAGGTTCAAGGTCATGTAGACTTTTATGCTTCTAAGAGTTTTGTAGTTTTAGCTTTTCCATTTAGATCTATGATACATTTGAGTTAATTTGTGTGTGTGATATGAGGAAGGAAGAGGTGTCCAACTTTACTCTTTTGCATGTGTATATCCAGTTGGCCCAGCACCATTTGTTGAAAAGACTATTCTTTCCCCAATTTAATTGTCTTGAGACCACAATAATTTTGTAAGGGGTTTGACTGAGATATTTTTCTTTTGCTTATTGTTTACTAATGAAGTGAGTTTTTCTATACTTTTAGAAGGGGAAGAATGGCAAGGATAGCTTTCCTAGTTTCATAGTTTAGGTTAAAGCTCTCTCTCCTGTGGTTTTTGCAAACTGGAGATACAGATATATCGTGTACTTTCTGAGATGTGCCTTTTCTGTTCCTCTCCACCACTTTCCTATGTCTCTTTTCTCTGTCTCTCTTATCCTGCATTCCACAACCTGGATTCTCCTCCCACCAGTTTCTTCCAGCAAGACTTTGTCTTAGAAAGGAGCTTTGGTTTGTTAATTTTGAGTTTATATGGCCCAAACCATACAGTGAGACCTTAACTTCTGTTGTATCACAGTTTGCTTGGATTTACAAATGATCCTTGAAGAACACGGGGGTTAGGGAGACAAACCCCTCCTCGCATTTCAAAATCTGCATATAAACTTTTGACTCCCCCAAAATGTAACTACTAATAGCGTAATGTTGACCAAAAACCCTTACCAGTAACATCGTCAATTAACATTTATTTTATGCTCTATATATTAATATTAGATATTCTATTCTTGCAATAAAGTAAGCTAGGGAAAAAATGTTAAGAAAATCATAAAGAAGAAAAAATATATTTACTGTTCATTAAGTGGAAGTGGGTCATCATAATGGTCCCTATCTTTGTTGTCTGTCTTCACATTGAGGAAGAGAAGAAAGAGGAAAAGTTGGTTTTGCTGTCTCAGGGGTGGCAGAGGCAGAAGGAAATATGTGTAAGTGGACCCACACAGTTCAAACTTGTGTTGTCCAAGGGTAACAGTATTTATAAATGGGATTGTGCTAAACTCCTTCCTGGTTTCTGCTGCTGTTCTCAGACTGGTCCACTGTACTGTCCAGTGAGCATCTGCTGTTGACTGAGGTTTTCTGTTCTCCAGCTGTCAGAAATTCTTGTGCCTTCTTTCCACTTCTTCAGGGAGATTTAGATGAGATTCAAAAAGCACACTACCACTGCTGTCATTTTCCCAGAATCTTGTCATTGACAAATGTTTATGAAGCATGTCCTATTCCTTTTTTTTTTTTTTTTAACAGGATGGCATCTACAAATTAAAAAGAAAATGCAACCTAATAGTTGATTCGTAGTTTATAATGCCAGGTAATTCTGTAGTGAAACAAATTGTAGGAACTTTTTCTAGACTGAGTTAAATATCATAAAATGTTATCATGCCTGTTGAATGTATGTCATTTTTTTTTCAGTGATAAGTAGTTTAATGATTTGTGTGTCTTATTTTGACTGTGCTAAGAATCAACTTCTCCCTTTCAGAATAACAAGCCTTTGTATTCATTTGAAGATAATTCAGACTATGTTTATGATGTTATGTGGTCACCCACCCACCCAGCCCTATTTGCCTGTGTGGATGGCATGGGGAGACTGGATTTGTGGAATCTCAATAATGACACAGAGGTGAGCAAGAAAATAACAAAAATTGTACTGAAAAATAGAAAATTGGATATTTATTGAATAATTTGTGAAATTCCTTTTATCCCAAAGAATGTAAAAGGGCTCTGTGATTGTAGCTTCATCACAAAGAAACCAAATAAGCTTTGTACCCTAAATAATAAACAGCATGCTGTGCAGAACTGAAGGGAGAGATAATGTTGCCAAGAGCACTGGGGCATTTCCTTTTACTTCTGAAAAACACTGTCATGTCTCTAATGTCCTGGCAAGTCTCATTCATAAGGCAACTGGAATATTTTTCATTCATAGGTTGGAAAGCAGATAGTTTTAGACTGTAGAAATATGTTAACCTTAATTCTAAATTCCTAAATTATCTCTTAGCCTTGATAGGATTGTATATCATCCATAAATATTAGTTTTTAACCTTACTTGTTTGAGTGGAGGAAAAATGTATTTTGATGACTTTTTCCACAAAGGATTGAAAACAGTGTTACTATCACTATAAAACGAATATAGAGAACATGAAATTTCCTAATTGCTATCCTAAAATCACTCATTAGCAATTAAATTTAACTGCAGCTATCATTTATTTTTAGTCATATGTATTTTTACCAGCTTAGAGAAGCTTAAAATATTCTTAGAATTCTATATTTTTGTTGGTAGAAGAGATGTTAGAAGTCTATCAATAACAGCTGTTGACAAGAAAGTCACTCGGTGCCTTCTCCTAAAGCTTCTTCTTTTCAAACTAAGAAAATAATGGTACCAATTGGTACCATTTTATTACCAATGGGTACCATTTTATTTTCTTTGTTTGGATTTTGATCTTAGAGCTTTGTGGTTACAATTAAATGTGGATCTTTCCTGTAATAGTTTAAGAATATATTGAAATATAATTTTTCTTTGTAATGATTCTGGCAATCTAGGGGGTTAAATTAATCATTTGGGGATGACTGATGTCAATTAGAAGGATTTTTGTCAGATTTCAAATATGTTTTAAATTTTATTGTGCTTTTAGTCTGAATCAAACACTGAATATTTGTTCTGTATATAGCAAATAAATCTTTTTCCTCAGCATAGAAGAGGCATAATCAGATTCCGGGGGCTGTTGTGATTATGCTGGTACCCTCATCTTGCCTCCCTCCAGCCAGTTCAGGGGAACAGGGTTTGGAAAGACTCAGACTACACCTTTAGTATGAACCGTTCCTAGGAACTGTGGATCAAATACAGGTTTCAGCTGACAGAGATGCAAGCTTACAAAATTGATTCCTGTCCTCTAAAACTGAACCATAATCTGTTTATAAGGGTTTTTGAAATGTTTTCTTTTTAAATGGGTTTTGGCCATATGTTTTCAAACAGCTTGACTTCTTAAAGAGGTTTAAACAGCAATAAAGACTCCTTTATTAAAGAGAAGATCTTTCAAAATGAAGTGGCTAGTCTTGTGAAAATTTCTTACATACGAACTTATTTTCCCAAACTATTTTCAAGGATTGGCTATAATGTCATTCATGATATATCACTGAACAGGAAGGAAGTTGGAAAAATTCTTTATTTTCATCTTTGTTTTTAAAAATGTAGCCAGATTGGATGAAGAGTTACTGTTTTACATGTTTATAGAAATCTTGATGAAACTTTTAACACTGCACTGTATTTTAAATGACTTTAGGTACCAACTGCCAGCATTTCTGTGGAGGGTAATCCTGCTCTTAATCGTGTAAGATGGACCCATTCTGGAAGAGAGATTGCTGTGGGTGATTCTGAAGGACAGATTGTTATATATGATGTAGGAGAGGTATGGAACTCGCTGCCTATAATTTTGACACATCTAGTTAGTGGCATTGTAGTGAAGGTATCTTTGTGGCTAAACCTAGTCTTTGAGGCTCATGAATTGTACAAACCATATGATTACAAAGATAAAACTTATTTCTACCACAGAAGTGACTTTTGAAATTAATTTTCTTTCTAAACTAGATATCACGTGTCCCCATGCAACAGATTTTGAGGGTAATAGAGTATGTTGGAAGTACCTTGTTTCTTGAAGCAGGCATTGCTGGAAATTAGAAATTCTTCAGAGAGAGAAGTTCAGAGCTATGGGTGGACTTCGGGGTTTTACAGAATTGATATTGAAATAAAATTTTATTTTCCTGTATCTGTCAATATGTCAGGGCCATGTGGTAGAAATCAAAAGTAATATGTTTGAGAGTTATCCGATGACTGTGAAATGTGTACCTTGAATCTTGAGCCTTGATGCTGAGCCATTATAATTGAATCCAGTAGGATGAGCTGCAGCTCTCTCATCTTTGGTGCTCTGATTTGCTGTACACAATGCCTAGTATGGATTTCCTCCTTTTTAGCCCTGACTAGCACCATAGTCACTTTTTCTTTTGCTATGCCTCCTGATTCCCTATATTCTCTGTGGATACTCCACAGCCTCTAGCAATTGGATCTGGTGGAAAGTAGATTGAATCATTTAGAACAGCCAACTGAACCATCTTTACAGTTGGAAATGTTCTGTATCTACACTATAGTACCCACGAGCCACATATGGCTATTGAATACTTCAAATGTGGCTAGTACCTGAAGAACTGAATCTTAAATTTTATTTAATTTTAATTAATTTAAATGTAAATAGTCTCATGTGGCTATTAGCTACCCTATCGAATAGTGCGGATTTAGAACCACGCACATACGTTTGCCACAGTGAGTGGTTTCTGCTCTAACATGGCAGTGTCAGACTCTTATCATATTATAATGGCAGTTATCAAAAATATCTATTATTGAACTGCCTCTGTTGGGCAGAAGCATCACAAGTCTCTTGCCCCCTTTTGCTGTTAGTACAACACTAATGTAGGAAATAGTAGCATAGTTTCTGATGAAGGAATTGTGGTATCACGTAAGGTTATCTTATGCTCCAAACAAAAATAAATACTTGTAAGAAACCAGCACTTATGAACTATGCTTCCAAAATCATTTCATACTAGGAATGGTGCAAGAATAAAGTAAAAATTTTTTAAGGAATTTCTTCCCACCAGCAAAACCCATGAGATGGTGCACAGGAGTTATATTTACAAAGCATCATTGTTATTCTCTCTTGCACTGATGGTGATAATGGCAAAGTCATTTCTGAGATGTCACAACATACTTCACAAACATCGTCTTTTGTTTTGAAATGTGGTAAATTATTGTTATAGTCCCTGTAATTATGGGAAGGCCATTCAGGTCAATTATCGCTTTTTAATGGAAAAATTATTTGAAAACAAACTGAATAATAGAGGGTAAGATGATCTTTTATTTCGGTGTACATAAAACACTGTCTTTCTTTTAACAGCAGATTGCTGTTCCCCGCAGTGATGAATGGGCACGGTTTGGCCGAACACTCGCAGAAATTAATGCAAACCGAGCTGATGCAGAAGAGGAAGCAGCTACCCGAATACCTGCTTAGTTCCCGAAAAGGGGAGTGTAGCTTTAGTGGAATTGGAGAGATTCTTAAGTAGATCCTAAGACTATTTGCATGCTTCTGTCTAAATAATAATTAAAAGGAAATTTCATGGATTAAACTGTGGATTTAATGCTGCAAGGAAATCTTACAATGTCCCTTTTTATATAACATGTATCTTGTTTTGGATTTGTGTCATTTTTAATACAGCTGATTGACTTTACAGAATGCAGCTTTTTCAGAATTCTAATACACAGGTGTATATTTGGTATTAGCTATTCTTTTGAAATCTTTTCAACTTATAACACTATATACAGTTATTTCTAAAGCACAGATTAAATAAGTTCTGCATATTTTTAAATAATCACAATTCCCTGTTATATTGGTAATGTTCTCACCAACAATATGTAGGAACATTGTTTATTCTTAGCCATAGCATGCATATACCTATCCAAGTTCCATTCTAACATCTTTTGTCTTCTTTATAATTCATGTGGTGTAGTTATCTATAAATAAAAACAAATTTATGTGTTAACTTTTCAATTTTTCATTTTTACTCCTTGCAGTTTGAATTTTTCTGTCTCTTTTATAAAGTCTTTTCCCCCTATACCTTTATTTAAGCTCCTGTTGTGAGCAGCCACCTCAAATTCTGTAAAGCTTTGTGTTTTACAGATACCATACAGAGTATACCATAGATCTCTCAATGCACTCTGAACTGATGTCTAGATAATCTGTCAGTGAAAAAAATTTCTCCTAGGTTAACTTTTGCTTTACTACCTTATTTTCTTTTCATCTAAGATATATTTACTTTAAAGAATAAATAGAATAAATAGAAAGCTGCCTATTATTTTCACTGATTGAGATTACTATGTATGTGAGCTCTCTAGAATAAAACCTCCTTTGAAAGAAAATGATTTCATGGTTGGAGTAGCCATGAGGGAAAAGTGCTCAAATGAACCCATACTTTGGCATTGAATCAACTCCACATCTTGAGATCTGTTACCACAGCCTTGTCTACAAATCTGAAAGGTAGGTGATAGATATCCAAGAATTAGTATTGAAATAAACCTGTCTCGGGAATAGAGGAAAGCACTATGATCAGATTATACATTTATCCACTTTAAATTGTTCATTTCCTTGATCCTGACCCATTGTCTTTCTAAAGTTTAACTGTCTTTTATTTAAAGGAATGTGAACTAGGAAGGACGATTAGAAATCAGAATTTGAAAATTTTTGTTTTAATGTTACAATTGTAACAGATTTGGGGGGAGAAGAATTTCCAAATAATAGCAAAACTTCTTACTGTGAGTATTGTATAAGGAATAATTGATCAGGAACATTAGACCTAAACTCTAGCTATAACTCTAGCACTTATAAAAAGTATGATTTTATCCTAGCACTCTGGGAGGCTGAGGCAGGCAGATTGCTCAAGATCAGGAGTTTGAAACCAGCCTGAGCAAGAGCGAGACCCCGTCTCTACTATAAATTAAAAAAAGAAATTAATTGGCCAACTAATATATATAGAAAAAATTAGCTGGGCATGGTGGCACATGCCTGTAGTCCCAGGTACTCAGGAGGCTGAGGCAGTAGGATTGCTTGAGCCCAGGAGTTTGAGGTTGCTGTGAGCTAGGCTGATGCCATGGCACTCACTCTAACAAGTTCTATGATTTTAGGCAAGTGTGTGCCTCATTCTTTTTATCTAGGAGTTAAGTTTGGATAAATGATTTGTGAATTTCCTTCTAGTTCTAAACTTTATAATTGTAATTATATCAGGCAATTCTCTACTTTTGTATATTCAGTTTTTAATTGCCCATTATATACCAAAGATAACATCTCAAGTTATTTCCTGGTAGCAATGTCTGTGAGTCAGAAGTTCAGTTTTAGTAGAGTCTTTGTATGTCTTTGTATGGGAGAATTCATGTACTCACTACTCATGTAGTTATTATAGTTTTGCCTCACTTTATAAACATGACTGAGAAAAAGGGAAAACATAAATCTTAAAACATAATGGTCACTCTAGCCTAGGCAAGAAAGCGAGACTCTGTCTCAAAAAAATAAATAAATAAAATAATGGTGACTAGGGTTGGAAATCAAGATGTGGAAATTGAGTCTGTGTTCTTCAGACTCAAGTTATTGTGTTCAATTGTGAAAGGAAAGAATAAAATTGGTAAGTATTTGCAAATTATTTATCAATAAAAAAAGTTTTGCTTTTTGGGAATAATTTCTCCTATCCCCTAGAAATATGATGTGGACCTTCGCCCATTCATCTTTAGTCTGCATTTTTAGGAATACTTGAATTTATTTAAGGAATTACATTTAGACTATATAATAGTGAAAGAGAAAAGTATTGAGACTGTCAATCTTCTGACAAGATAAAGTTGACTAGAAGTGTATCATAGCTCTTTACACTTTCAGAAATAAAAGCCTTACAATTTGAAAAACACCCAGTTACAGAAATTATACCATATTTGTTATCAGTTAATACCTTTTTTTTTTCTGAGTAGGAAAACAAACTAGCTTTCTGGCTAATTTTTAATTTTTTGTTGTTTGGTTTTTTCTTTTTGAATTATTTCCTTTGTGTTGAGGAATAATACTCAGTTTTTCAGACAGTAATTAACTTGTAATCTCAAAAATATTTTTTTGATATTATATAAACTAAATATTCACTGGTAGAAACTTTCCTGCTTACAGATCCAGTTCCCTACAAAGTTTTAAAAATCCCTATATAAAATGTTACAATAATGCTGAGATACTACATCTTGAAGGAATGAATGACTTAAAATTTAGAGTGAGGAACCAAAGGAAAGTAGTTTTAGGGGTGATTGATACCAGTCTTTCAGTGCTGTAAGAATGTTGATTTATTCTATTCTGTACTAATATGGATAGATTATAACCTCCATCACTTAAACCATATGGTAAGAAAGGACTTGAATAAATGAATGAAAAATCTGCTGTGAAGCATATATTCTTTCCTTTCTATTGGACAGTATTTTTTTTTAGATCAGAAGGCCACTTGTTTTATTTCTAAAGCTATGCCGTAAATTTCTAGTGAGTGCCAGTGATCACCTGCCACACTCACTGGGCAGTGCATTTTTAAATATCTTTTCCACAACTCTAATATTTCAACATTTGACATGGTAATAATTTTCTAAATGAAAAACTTGTATAATTAGGTGTATATTAAAGATAATAGAGCTCCAGTTATAGCTCCAGCTGCTCACTGGCATCCAAGGCAGTGGTATCATATCTGAATCTTGGGCATAGGTCTAGCTAGGTTAACAAGCCAATGGCTTTGCTTCTTTTGGTGACTTGGTGATGGGGTTCCTGTTCAGATTTTTGTTTGTTTTACTCCAAGCTACACAGCAGCAAGAAGAGTTCTTGCTTTCCTGCTATCATCTTACCAATTGCTTAGGCAACTAGGAACCTGGCAGGTTTGGGGATAATACTCTCAACTAGGACCTTATTTTTCACTCATTAAAAATTATTAATGCTGGGAAATTACTTACTTATAGATCTGGCTTACAGATTTGGGGGCTTCTAGTGCTACCAAAAAATTAGAAAGTTGCCTGAAAGGCAGTATTAAAAGAACATCCATATTCAGTATTTCTTTGAGGATTACAATTAGGAACATTCTTTTAACCATTTTCTTTGGTTTTACTGCCCCAAAATGCTAGTAATTTGCTTGTGCTGTATTACATTTTAAGAATCTATTTCATATAGGAAAGGTACCATGGAGCCCATTTTAGAAAAACACCCTACAGTCCTAACCAGAATGCCAACTGCAAGACTTTGAATAGTCATCACATTGTAATGCTTTTCATAATAGGCCAATATCCTCAGACCTTTTGTTGGATTTTAGGTGTTTAAATTCTTTTTCTGTCTTCCATGTTCATGATCCCCAAACTGCTAAAAGTTCAAATGGATGTCAGGTATTTAAGTTTTCAGTATATACCTTCTAACCACTTCTAGCTTCAACGTAGCCAATCAGCAATCTTTTACAAACTTTTATAAAATTATGGTATTTTGTGTTGTTAGTTTCATAGCAGGCATCTCAGTTTTGGCTTCTTAATATTCCATTACCAGTTTCCAGTCAGAGGATGGAACAGCTTGCACTCAGGTAAGCTTTCTGAAAGGTCTATTTCACTTTGTGAGGTCACTTATTCAGGTCTCTGGTAACGTATTATCCTGCCTCTCTTATAATGTACTTGATTTGGTCAGAAAGCTGTAGGGTGGTGATTGTATGGGGTGTAGAACACACCTGCGTTGTGCTGAACATGCAGAGACCTGACACTGTGACTCTGGAAATCAGGTATACCACTGATAAGACTTTGATAGCAAGTAATTTTATCTTTTGTGAATTTTTGTACTAGATTTTTTTTACAACCACTTTTTTTTTTTCTGAACAAAGTAATGGAAATGCTTTGGAACAAAATTTCTTATACTTAAGAGTTGGCTTGGTATATGAGAGAAAGAACAGGGGCACAAAAGACCCAAGGTCTATCCTCCATTACCAGTGATGTAACTAGACAATGATCAGTATTGTCATTCGTTAAATGAGGAAAATATTTGCTTTCTGTGACAATTACATGAGAGAATATTTATGTGAAGACCTTTGTAAGTTATATTACAAAGTATTATAAAAATAAGGGATGTTCTTTTTTATTTTACAAATACAAGAATGGAGAAAGACAATCTATGTACCCCTCTGTACAATGTGGCTTGGTGTTCAAGAAATTATTACATTTTAATTCTAAGAAATCACATCATAATTTCAACCCTCAGAATCCTCAGATGTTCAGGAGTAGTGAACTGAGGGAAAAATATTAACTGCGCTTAATCAATGATACTTTTCCTAGGAATGTTTCATCTTATTACATTCTATGGTAAAGTTACAAATTGTGCTAACTAGAAAAAATGTTTTTGTTTGGTTTAAGTGACATTAATGAGATTAGATCAAGATGGTAGACAGAAGAGAAGCATCCACTATCCCTTTCAACCCTAAATTCCATAAAGTGCTAAGGCAGAAGAAAAACAAGAAAATCTTGCTATAACACTGAAAAACGAGAGGATTAGTAATGGAATAGAAATGTGGAAGAATGCCAGACAGATAGAAAACAGATAGGATCAGAGCTATAGGTAAATAAAACAAGGAAATCACAACTCAAACCAGGCAAAAACTACCACAAAGGGATGAATGGGTTGGAACCTGGAATCAACAGATACAAAGTGCAGGAAGGTGCCCTGAGATTCTGGAACGGGGTGACTCATTAGAGAGCTGATTCAGAATAGCTAAGCAAGTTCCTCAACCATGGGCCAAGTGGTAGGCAAAAGGAGTGTCTATGCCCAGCCTATATGATAACTGGGTGAAGCCACTGGAACTGGAGAAGCTGGGCAATGCCCCCACATATTGTGTGGCCTTCAAGAGGAGAAGAGGAGCCTATACAGTAGTGCCCCATTTACTCACAGTTTGGCTTTCTGCAGTTTTGGTTACTTGTGGTTGGTGCTGTCCAAAAATATTAAATGGAAAGTTTCAGAAATCA